ACGTCTCCAACGGCTGATACCCTTTTACTACCTGGGTAGCCGTTACATTGATCAAAGCTCAAAAAAGTGTTTTGTTTTTTGAGGAATTAAAGGAATCATTTTATATTTACAAATACATATTGTGCAAATGGTAGTTTAATTTTCCTTTTATAAGTGTTGACTCTTGCACTTCACCTTGTAGGTGAATGTGATCATTGGTTATTAATTTCTGCATTCTGAGAAACTGTATCAAATATGTACATCAAAAGAAAGGTTTTGTTACCTGTAGTTGCAGTATCTGAAGTTGAAGCTGGAATTCAAAGATACACATATGCTAATATTTAATTTAATATTCGACAGCAATAGGTAAATGTAGATAGTTCTAATAATACAGACTAATTATAAAATGCAGAAGACCATCAGCTAAAATATTCCATTATGGACAGGCTTACAAATTGTCACAAAAGGTAAAGTCCATTATAAGGCCATTATATCTCACATTCATGGAAAAATTGTTGATGCTTTTCATCATGTTTTTTCAAATCTTCATTTTACATTCTCGAAAAAAAAATCCAAAGTATACAAAGAAATGTAAAAACAAAAAGCACACAGTTTTTAAAATAATTGAGAGAAAAGCTGACTGTATCATTTTTAGCCAGGGTAAAGGAACTTGTATCGGTAACATTCTAAAAATATAATTCCACTTAGGCAGAATATATGATCGAATAATATTTATACGTCCTATCCAAGAAATCTCCTTACTAACCCATTCTTTCAAGGTTTTGTTTGTATATTTTATAAGTGGAAGAAAATTTACCTCAATTATTTTATTTATGTTTCTTGGAATTTTAATACCCAGAAACGTAATATTGTCTTTTGTCCAGGCAAAAGTATATGTTGTTTTGATAAAATTCCTGTCTTCACTGTCCATCTTACTTGCCATTATCGTAGTTTTATTTGTATTTAATTTATAATTTAAGTATTTACTATAGTGACCCAATACCTTAATCAATTCTGGCAGAGATGACCTTGGATTTTGTAAAGTAAGCAAGACGTCATCAGCGTATAAGTTAACTTTATGTTCTGCCTTTTTTTCTTGAAACCCTCAATCTTTCTGTTTTCCCTTATTTCTTCTGCTAAAGGTTCAATGGTTAAAACATATAATAAAGGGGACAGGGGGCATCCCTGTCTGGTGCCATTTGTAATATTAAACCATTCTGCATCTATACCTGATCCTACCATCCTAGCTGAGGGCACTGTGTACAATGCCATAATACGCCATCAGAGCATCGCTCAGAAAATCCCATCTGACCCTGTTGAAGGCTTTCATCCTTTGTTCTGCATCATGGACATCCAAAACCCATCTAAGGCCACCTGCTGCTACTCTTATTAGAATAAATCCAACCTGATCCTGTTGTATCAAGTCTGAAATACAGGTTTTTAGGTGATCCGCTATAATCATAGCATAAATCTTAACATCTCCATTTAGAAGAGATACGTGCCGATAATTTACTAATATCTCTGGATCTTTATCTTGCTTCAAAATTGGAACAATATTGGCTTGAAGCATCTCCTTAGGAAAAGTACGATTGGCAACAATCTCATTAAATATCCTTGAGAGATGTACAGATAGTATATCTCTAAATATCTTATAAAATGTATGTGTATATCCATCTGGATTGGGAGCTTTTTTAATCTTCAACTTATATATTGCTACTTTGATATCTTCTGGAGTTATAGGTTTATTTATAACTTTTAGTTGTTCTCTAGTTATTTTTGGCATTTTTTTATTTTTAAAATATTCCTTTGAGGGAAATTGTTTTCCTTCTAATTCTAGATTATATAATTGCCTATAATATTCATTAAAAGCTATCCCAATTTTCTTTGGGCACATATACGTTTCATTCTCCATCTTAATTTTATGAATCCTCCTCATTTGTTTTTTAGTTTTCAATTTATTTGTAAGTAACGTGTCTGCTCTATTACTCTTATAATACCAATTTATCCTGAGATATTGTAAATTCCTATTTTTCTCCTCGATCAATAATTCATTTATACTATTTTGAATTAATAACATTTTTGTACTTGTCTCTTTAGTTGGAAAAATCTTATTTTCTTTGGATAATTTATAAAAATCTATATGCAGATCTGCCAGAGATTTGCCCCTTTTTTTTTTCAATTGTGCCCAATTTGATTAAATACCCTTGTATAACGCATTTATACGCATTCCATACAGAAGGAAGTGGCACTTCTCCCCCATCATTCTCCTGAAAATACCATTTTGTCATCTCTGTAATATATTCTCTGTTTTCCTTTTTAAGAAGGATGTTATCATTTAATCCTCACGCTGTTCTTTTTGCACTTTTATTCTCAATACATAGTTCCATAATTATAGCATTATGATCAGACCAAGTAACTTCATTTATCAACACTTTATTAGTGCTATTAGCCAGGCTATCATTTCCCAAAAATACATCTATTCTTGAATATGAGAAGTATGTTCTGGAAAAGCATGTAAAATCCCTCTCCCCTGGGTGGAAAGTGTGCCATATATCCAATAATCCATATTTCCTAAATATTCTTTAAAATTGTACCGCTTGTGAGATTAAGATTTTATTTATTATTCCTTCTTTTAGTGTTTTTAAAAAAAATCTAAACTAGCATCTAGAATTCGATTGAAATCTCCCGCTAGAAGTAACTTTCCCTGTTTTATTTTATCCACTTTATCTAGGAGATTTATAAAATATCTATTTGGATATGTATACATTAACTAGTGCATACATTTCTGCTTGGATTTTAATTATCAATATAATAACTCTAGCTTCCTTGGTATATAATTTTAGCATCTATATCTTCACTTATCAGAATAGCCAAACCTCTCTTTCTCTCCTTCTCTAGTGAAGCACATACCGCTATTGGGAACCTTTGTGGAATACATTTTAAACTATCTTCTCTTCTCCAATGCATCTCTTGTAAAAAGATAATTTGAGCTTTTTCTTTCTTAATTTAATCAAATAAAATAGCTTGTTTGTATGGAGAATATAAACCTTGAGTATTTAACAATACAATTTTAACCATTAAGCATTTTGTATCTTATTATAATTCAGTAAAATGGTTCTCATATTTAAAAGTTTAAATCTTAGGATCATTCTCCAGATACTATTATCCATATTCTAATTGCAGTTTCTTCTCCAATTCCTTCCTTGTCTCAGCATCCGCCCCAGCCACTAGCAACCTAAACATACCATTCATACAGTATCCACTCATAAGAGAGGAGCATCCATTCAATTTACCCTGAGACCCAGTCTCAAAGTAAAGATCCCAAATACGATAACCCCTAATTGGGATCTCATCCTCACCAGGATATATCCTTAATAAGGAAAAAAAAGCTGAGCTATATTACCCCCATGACATTATCTTACTCCTTAGCCCTCTGATTAATTAGAACTATACCAGAAATTTCCCCGATATTTATACCTTTATTGAGATCTTTATGCAAACAGTTAATTACAGTTCAGACATTTTTTAGGCAACACATCATTTGTTTCTAAACTTTCCCATTTTTATAATTTTTTTTCCTTTCTTTCCTTAGCCTAAGTGCCATTTGAGGCTTATGATAGAATTACTTCAATCTTTACTCTAATATTTATAACTTTGTGATTTTAACATTTAATTTAATGCCTTATTATATATCTAATCAAAAGTGTTATCAATTCTTGTGTTCGAATTTAAATTAAGTATTTCCGTTTAATACCCATATCTGAATCATATATTTGTTGATTTCTCCCCTCTATTCCCCACTATTCTAATTCTTACTCTTACTCTGTGGATCATTTAGATGTATAAAAATGTAAAGGTAACAGTGAAATTTGATAAAAGAAAAATCAAAACTTTTTATGCAGTGCAAAACATTACAAATATATTATTTGAATCATACATTTTATTTTAACCCCTTAAGGACCAAACTTTTGGAATAAAATGGAATCATGACATGCCACACGTCATGTGTCCTTAAGGGGTTAAATATTTAATTTAGCATGATGAATCAAAATGTATATGATATGTGTCAATAACATTATAAACATTTCCACACATGATATATCAACAAAAAAAATGATCAAAGCTCAAAAAAGTGTTGTTTTTTTTGAGGAATTAAAGGAATCATTTTATATTTACAAATACATATTGTGTAAATGGTAATTTCCTTTTCCTTTTATAAGTGTTGTCACTTGCACTGCACCTTGTAGGTGAATGTGATCATTGGTTATTAATTTCTGCATTCTGAGAAACTGTATCAAACATGTACATCAAAAGAAAGGTTTTGTTACCTGTAGTTGTAGTATCTGAAGTTGAAACTGGAATTCAAAGATACAAATATGCTAATGATTTAATTTAATATTCAACAGGAATAGGTACATGTAGATAGTTCTAATAATACAGACTAATTATAAAATGCAGAAGGCTATCAGCTAAAATATTCCATTATGGACAGGTTTACAAATTGTGACAAAAGGGAAAGTCGATTACAAGGACAATATATCTTACATAAATGGAAAAATAGTTGATGCTTTTCATCAGATGTTTTTTTCAAATCTTCATTTTACATTCTCCAAAAAAGGTCAAATAAAAATCCACAATATCCAAAGAGATATATAAAAAAACAAATGTTAAAATATTTGATAAAAAAATGTAAAATCTTGCAACAAAAAAATGTTCCATCTTCAACCATTGTGGGCACCACCCATACTGAAGTTTCAAACTAGAAAGGTTGATATAATGGACTTCCACACTTTGAATTTCAGTTGCACAAATCTGATTGGTTGGTTTGGAAGCTTCACCTCTCATGATAGTAGCACTGTAATGCATTACCAAGCAAATTTCATGTGAGGTGAGACATTCCTCACAAAAGGCGCTCTGTTTAGATTTCTATCCAACCAATCAGAATAATATGACTACTATTTAAATACAGGAATGCAATATTAAATTCCTGTCTTGCTCTGACACTTCAGTCTGTGCAAAAGACTGCAAATGCAGACTCCAGGCCACATGCCCCATTTAAATCAATGAAGAAGGTTTGAAAAAGGAAGACTTGTGATGGTAAAAATGGCAACAAAAACATTTTATAGAATGCAAAACTGTAAATACATGATTTAAAGCATATATTTTTCTATCAATGCTTAAGTGAGGAGGTTGGGAAGCATGCAATATTTTCCTTTTAGGTATTTAAGATTTATTAAGCTCCATCATTTATATATTTTTTTTTTCTTAATCTGTGGATCATTTCGCTATATACATGTAAATATAACAGTGAAATTTGGTAAAGGCAAAACAAAACTTTTTATGCAATACGAAATTACAAATAGCCCAATGTTAAGGACCTGCCATGCTTGTATACTGAACTGAGTTTGCCTTATAAGATTTTAGGGGCATGTCTAGATGACAAGGAAGATGCCTGTTTAAGGCTCCAGTTCCTCATCCTTGCAACTCTTGACAACTATGGGAGACACTAAGATTACCAGGGACCCTCCCTGTACCCATAAACCACAATTTCCCTGTCCAGAATTGTCCATCAGCTCTTACCTCAGTATCCCTCAGGACCTGGCCTCACACCACGAGACAGAAACTTTCAGTCCTAGCCTGGGCTCACCTTCTACCCCGGCGAGGTGCTCTGACCCGAGTGGTGAAGGAAGAAATAGCTCTAATGCAGGTGGTCATCTACAAAATAAATGCTACATTGGCTAGACCTGACCCACCTCACTACCTGAGTTGACGACCTCAACAATAGTGGCAGCAGGAATGAGACACAAGGGTGACTGCAAACACCACACGCTGTAATAATTTTTAAAATTATTTTTTTAAGGCATTTCAGAGTGAGGCAGTTTAATCAGCACATTTAGTCGTAAGGATATATGCCTATATGGTGTATTGCAACAACAGAAAGAGTATTCAATTATATGTTTTGTCAGGGGGCGCAGTGTGCATTTAAATTTTGCTGAAGATTTCGTTCCAAACACACATCTTGTTAGAAATATAAACTAGGTCATAAAAAGAGAAGAGTCAGTAGGAAAATATCAAACAATACACTGAGAGTCCATGCTGTTACGCAGAAGCCTTCTCCAGTGCTTGGGAGAGGTGGCTAGGCCTCAGTCCAGAGGGTTATCCGTAGTCAGCCGATGCCTGCTCTGCTGAGCCGCTGGCATTGTGTGTAGGTCCCTTGGGTCAGGGTTCCCCCTCTTGTGGGCCGTGGAGAGGCCCTCCACTTGTTGCGCCCGCCGGTTACCTTCCTCTCTGCATCCCGGTCAGCTTCGCGACCGGCATCATGGATTCTTGTGTGCAGGGTTGCGCATTGCTTGATAGAGATTGCTGGGGCAGTTGAGAGGCACGCGGGTCAGACATGCTGGTGGGTCCCACTCTGTAGCGTGGGGATGTGAGTGCTTACATCCAATGATCTTGGCGCCATTTCCTGCCCTGTTGATTTTCTGCTTCGTTCCTGTCGGGGAGCCGCTCCGGAGCCACGAGGGGGATTCCCACCTAGGTTGCGCCGGGTTGCTGGGCGGATCCAAACCGCCACCTCTTTCATCGCCAGCTTGAAGGGCTGTCTGCGTGCCTTGTGCTGGGTCCAGAGGCTGGCACAGAGCCGGTCATAGAACTCCCATGTGTGCTTGGGAGGCTTGGTGAGTTCCCTTTTTCGTGGGCTGCATCTGTGCCGTCATCTTGGTTGGGCCTTGACAGTCCCGTTTGGCTGTTGGCTTTGTCGCTTGGCCAGGTGTTGCTGCAGGGGTAGTTGTCCCCAGTGAGGACCGGGATATCCCCCGCCGGTCCAGAGTGGGGGAAAGCAGGACCGTAGTGTGTTCATGCTTTTTAGCGTGGCCTGCGCCAGGGGATCGGCCGTCTCCCCCCGGACCTCGGGCCCCGCTCTGGTTTAGGCTGCATGGCCGGCGTGGGGTTTTTCGCAGCGTATCGGTGCCGGGCAGGTACCATTCTGTGTCTCTTGTTGGTTTGAGTCGGTCCCCAGACACCATGTGCCGCCAGTGTAAGCAGTTCTGTTGATATTGTCAGGATTGTGCCTGTTATTGCAGGAGCTCTTAGAGTGTGCGACCGGCCATCTTGGCTGTCAGGCCCCATCCCCCAATAATTTATTTTTTTATTTTGTCCTTGGAGGGCGAAAGATAGGTAGAGACTCTTCCCATCATCCCATCATCGGGTTCTATATGGACCATTGCTGGTACTGAATAACTAGGATGTGTCAGTTGAAGGGAAATGGTTGCCACACTTGGTGGGGGTGTGTGTATGGGGGTTTGAGAAGTTTCAAATGTATAACCGTTTCTGCATATATTTGGAAGAGTGTTGATGACCGTATTGTAAGGAAAATGAGGGAAGAAATGGGGGAGGGAGGTTGGGGATGGGAAGGTGTAAACATGGGGGAAATGAAAAGAAAAAGAAAAAAAAGAGGGAAAATAACGAGGGTAAATCAAAAAAAGAAAATAATAACATAGTTGAATCCAGAGTGGGGGACATATTAGCTTTGAGGATAACCCTCAGGAGTATAGCTATCACTACTAGTTTATGATTTGTGCTCTGAAACCAATGCCTGTGTAGGAACTCAGCCTTTACACCTCGATAAATATCCAAATTATTGTGAGCATTGCTGGATTTACAGGTGGAAGCAATCAGAGGAAAGTTGGGAAGCCTAATGAGCTGTTAGGAAAAAAAGAAAAAAAAAAGAAAAGAGAAAAGGGAAAAGGGAAACGGGAAGAAAGATAAATCAATTTGTAAATCCTTATGCATACTTTGACCTTTTGCATTGATGTAAATCACTCTACCTACCCAAATGTCTGATTATTCTGGGAAACTCTTTTGTCCTGGGATAAGAGACCCTGGTGACGGGTTGTTTTGGAGTACTGACTTCCACCTCCTCTCTTCATGACTACCGCCACTAGTTATTGTATAGTAACACTTTGTGGTATACTTGCCTTCAAGTGCTGGAGGAGGTTCTCTGGAGAATACCACATTCCTTGTAGCATTATGGACTCATCAATTTAAGGATGGTCTTAGTACACAATTCTGTTCTTCTCACAATTTCACTATAGAAGCAGCACAAACCGCATTAGAACTGGATAGAGACATTGCAGATCTGGAGCCACTTCATTAATAAGTCTTTAGTGATTGGTGAATTGTGGCTTGTGGCCTTTAGTGATTGGTGAATTGTGGCTTGTGAAACCGGATCAAAATGGATTTATACCGGACAGCAGGTCAGAGAAAACACTATCTGAGCCATAAATCTGATCTCTGGAGGAAGGCGAACAGGGCACCCTGTCCGACTCCTGTCCATGGAGGTGAAAAAAAGTGTTTAACAGGATGGACTGGGGACTCCTGCTAGTAGTGCTTCTAGGGATTGGCTTACGATCCAAATTCCTCTCTTGGATTTCAGCCCTCTATTCTAGCCAGACGGCAAGGCTGCAGATAAATGAGGCACTGTCAGTCCCATTTTGTATATACAACAGGACATGGTAGAGCCAACTGCTGTAACCTCTTATTTGCCCTGATGCTAGAGGGTTTCCTGAACAGAATTAGAAGCAAAAATGACATCCAGCATTTACGTGTGGGACAGGTTCACCACAAAGTCCTCGCATACGCTGATGACCTGCTGTTTATTGTTACAGACCCAACTTCCTCCCTTATGTCAGAATTCAAAATGTATGGACACATCTCCAACCAGATTAACAATGCTAAATCTGAAATCCTGGGCATCTCTATTGGCCTGGCACTGCGGTGAACGCTTACACACTGCTTGCCCTTTCACTGGTGCAATTCGCATATGTGATACCTGGGAGTCTGGTTCAACCCGGATCTTTGGGATTTGTACAATTACAACTTTATACACCTTCTTACAAAAAGCTGTGTGTATGTATCAGTGTGCACCTGTGTGTCAGTATGTGTATCTGTGTGTCATTGTGTATGTGTCAGTGTGTGTATCTGTGTTTCTGTGTTTGTATGTAACAGTGTGTATCTGTGTTTCAGTGTATGTATATGTCAGTGTGCGTACCTGTGTGTCTGTGTACTTGCATGTATGACAGTGTGTGACAGTGTGCATGTGCATCAGTGTGTGGCAGTGTATGCATTCAAGCGCAAACATTCACACACACACACACACACACACACACTTACTCCATAGACTGCTCAGTGCCAAATACAAACCTACAAGAATAGGCAAACAAATCTTGCACCAGGGCCCTCTCTATGTCTATATTTGTTCCACCACTGCTCTTGGAGGCCTTTAGCAGCCAATATAGTGAAGAGGGGCTCCAGCACATGCAACCATCAGCTTCAGAAGCTCTCTCCAACGCGGCCATCAGAAGGTTGCTGTGTGTTACCATGGCAATGAGAAGCAGACCAGTTTCACAAGAGTTGGAAAGAGTAGCTGCCAGAAGCTGAGGATCATGGTGGCTGGGTACCAGCCTGTACAGTGTCATAGGACCACCAGGGAGTGTAATGGGAACATATAAAAGGTATGGAAGGAGAGATACAATTAATTATAAAAAAAAATTAAATAAAAAACAACAACTTTTTCCTACAGAATGCAGCCTCTGTTTTACCCCACATATATATTCACACACTCTGCACCCATTACGCAAATGCACACTGCAACCAATACACACGCTGCATCCGCTACACAGACACATTCTGCATCCACTGCAAACACGTACTCCATCCACTAAACACACACCACATCCACCTTACACACAATGCATCCTCTACACAAACACATCCACTACATCTACTATACAAACACACTGCATTTGCTAAACACACACACTCTGCATTCACTCTACACACACTCCACCTGTTGGGAAGACTCGGGGGGGATCACTGTGGCAGATTAAGGGGTGGGCCCTGAGGGCAGACTTGTGTTAGGGGATCCAAAATTTATGATGGCAACCTTGGTTGCCAGTACCATAGCACTATGATATTGTGTTTTTACTGCACAACATTTAAATACCAGGTCTCAAGAAAAAGTTACATAGTTATATGAAACATTGGAAACATTTTACTTGCTGGGATATAAGCTAAGTTTTAAACTAAAGTCCTGAAGTGTCGGTATTAAGTGTTTATCTGCATTTTTCTATGAAACACTGCGATGATGAGAACCCAAGTTTAAGTGAGCATCCTTTTTTTCATTATCTGTATATCAATGGTGGGTCAATGACATTCTGTAAATCTTTATGGAATCTATACATAGAATGGAGGGTTGCATTTTTAGATCGTGTTGTTGAAAGTGAAATTCAAATGGACAAATATTTTATCACTCAATGAAACATACAAAGGTAATAAGTAACTAAAAAATGGACACATGGACAAATTTTTAAACCATTTTGGCTAAATATAGTAATCTTTTGACTATAGTCGGGAGGCATGCTGCATTAGCCACCATCCTCAGCCAGCAGTCCTACTTGATCACAGCGAAGTCAGCCTCCTGCATTAAGAGTGGGTGCAAAGCATCCAGGCGCTCTGTAGATAGAGGCAGATCAGCATATTGTGCAGTGGTAGGCTTTGCCTCCTCGTGTTAGCCCCCCTCTTCTTGTTTGGCTCCACCCTACATAATCATAGCCAAGAGGCAGAGATAGAAGGCAAAAGCTATAAGCTGACAAGCTATTTGAAAACAACAACTTTTATCTTCCAGCTCTGCCTCCTTGTGCTGATTACCAGGGGGCAGCGCTAGGGGCATGATCTAATGTAAGGAGGCAGAGTCTTTGTCTGTTTGTATATGTTTATCTGTGCCAGTATTGGGTGTATCTGGGTGTGTCAGTGTATATCTGTGTCAGTATGTATATCTGTGTGCGTCAATTTGTATGTGTATCTGTGTCAGCATGGGTGGTGTTCTCTCTGTGTGTGTCAGTGTGCATGTATCTGTGTGTGTCAGCATAGCATGCAGTGAATGCTGGAGCATTGCATGGCAACCTTTAGCAATGCTCTTGCAGCTCACAAGAGAAGACGAGCTGATCCTGTTGGAGATGGAAAATTAGATCTTTGGGTCCCTTTTTTATAGAACAGCTTGTTGTGCCACCAGATCACCAGGGAATCTCGTGTCCCCCCTCCCTGCCCACAGGTAAGAGGTAGGGAGGGGGGAATAAATTATATAATAAAAATATATATATATAATAAAAAAAACTCCTCCCCCCCACAGCACACCACAAACACACATACAGAGCATCCACTACGCAAACACAAACACTGCATCTACCACACAGACACTGCATTTACTACATAAAACACACACTGCATCCACTACAGAAACACACACTGCATCCTCTACTGAAACACAGACACTGCTTCCACTACACACACTGCATCCACTACACACACAATGCATTCACTACACACACTGCATACACTGCACACACTGCATCCACTACACAAACACAGACACTGCATTTACTACACACACTGCATAAATTAATGGATTTGGGCATGTTTTGGTGAGCATTGTTGTGGTGTGTGGGGGGGGGCAGCATTTCATCCTAGGGTCCAGGCAGCACATTGTCTTGGGCTGGCGTTGTGTGTCAGTATATGTGTGTATCTGTGCGCATGTGTGTGTATCTGTCAGTATGTGTGTATCACTGTGCATGTAAATCTGTGTTAATATGTTTGTGCATCTGACTGTGTGTCATTGTGCATATAAAGCTGTGTCACTATATGTGTGTAGCTGTGTGTCATTGTGTATGTGCATTTCTGTCAGTATATATTCTATGTGTGTGGCAGTGTTATGTGTATTCTAGAAGGGGGAACCCCACATTTTGCATCAGTGTCCTCTCTACATTAGTTTTGTCACTGACTGAAGTGGTTGTGGTGCTTGGAGTAACCCTTTAAATCTTTAGCAGAGTTAAAAAAAAAAAAAACATGTTTTAACACAGAGGGAAATGGCAAACAATACACTTTGAACCCTTTACCCTTAGCTTGAGGTGCACAAATTGAAACCTATTACAATGGAGGTGGGAATCGATCTGCCTTTTAATATGTGAAGACCCCCAGTATTAATTGCACTCCCATCCAACTGCAGATGGTTTGACATTGCATATTTCCCATATATTAACCGGCCACACGCAGGGTAATGGAAGGGCTTTATATAAGTAGAGAAAGGTAAATAAGACCTATGCACATTTTCTTGGAAAAAAGTTACTGTTTTGGGTCATTCCATAGTTAAGGAGTTCAGGTATATGTCTGTTTATACATTTAGCTCAATTAACAGAAATAAATGTATTAACACAATTTAACATTAATTTCAAAAACCTTTAATTATTTTCTGATATATTCATAGAAATATGCTTAATTTAGATCTTAGATCATATTTTATCAATGCATATACAGTGTGGTGAAAATGTGTAAAAATAAGATTAAAAAAAAATTAACTGCATCTCAGATGTATAACTAATGCTAACGACAAGCTTTTGCAATGTTAAAGTCTAACTGGAAATATTTAGAGTTTGTGTTTTGAATAGTTTGCTTACCATCTGCTGAAACGAAGTATGATGAGCTGATCATCAAACCAAGAAAAAAAAGAAGTGTGGCAGTTCCTATCAATGCCATGGTGATAGTAGGGTGAGTACAAAATCAGTGCTGAAGTTTTAGAAGCATGCTTTTTTATATATAGTATGGATAATGCAAATCTTTTAAGGGCAGGACAAACTAATCTACAGTTCACATGATTGTGTCCTTTCTCATCCTCAAATCTGACAATGACATTGTCTAGTGGGTAATTAAATAGCTCAACTTGGAGAATCTTTTCTATAAGAAATGTTTCTACCACTAATGCCTGTAGCTATGTTCAGTTAGGTGTTGTATGTTTTCATAAGTTACTATATAATTTACACAAAGTTATATCCTATTCTCTAAGTTTACATCTCAATTCAATAAAGAAAATGACACTATAATTATCACTAAAGTAGCATCTAGTAAACATGAGCAAGATACATATTTTCTGAATGCCCCAAGTAAGGGTTAACTTAAAGGGACACTCTATTCACTGGTCAACATATATAGCTCAATGTTATTCTCTCCAGAACCTCCAAGCTATGCAAGTCTGTCCCTGTGTGAGTTCCTATTCAGTGGTATACCACATAGGTCTCCTAGCTCCTTTAACTAAACAGTTACTTTTCTGCCAAGCCAATGTAAGATTATGTAAGGAAATTCCACCTCATTGTGCTTTTATTATTATTACCAAAATGAATTATTATTGCCTTGTTTCTAGCCAAGTGTATATGGGTGTCACAATCTATATAAAGAGTGATATATTAAAGTAATTTTAATTACTGCTAAAACAATTGTGTCCTCCAATTATTGCACAATATTAGACCATCACTACCAACATGCGACAATAGTGTAAAATTAGAGATAAGTTCATTATACCAGTCGAAGGAATAATTTAGCACAGACTGCAAAAGTTGCATTTGAACTATTCGATCTACAAAATCAAGTCCAATCATTATAAGCCTCTGTGATAACCATTGCTAATTACCCAGAACCTTCCATCCCACCACCACATATATTCAGTGAAGACACATCTCAATAAAGAACCTTCTAAATCTGGACATTGTTGAATTCCATGAATAATGGCCAGATTCTGCAGAATGGCTCTGTACGCAGCTGGTTAGTTTTACCACATTCTGCATGCTGCTATTTGGGCTTTAATGAATAAACCTGTTTATTATATATACAAAAGAAAAAATAAAGATATGTGGGTTATTACAACTGTTGCCAATCCCTGATAAACCTTCAGATTCCATTTATATTTATTTTGTAATTGAATTACCTCCAAGAAAAGGCAATGATTGTAGTTTTAATCATTGTTGAAGCACTCACTAAAATGTCCCATTTCATAGTCTTGCCATCTATTTCTGATGACTCTACCACTGCCAAGGTCTTTGTCTTTAACTATATTTTTTGGTCATCTCTCTGAAGCCCTTCAAGTTGACAACAAAATGTCCTTGTTTTCCAATCCTCAAATATGGATAAACAGAAATAGTTAGTCAAATTATTGGACAAAACTTTATTAATGCTATCTCCAAGGTGATTGGAATAGTCTATTACTTTACCCATAGCCAAGTTTTCTGATAATAATTCAACTTAATACTCGACTCATAAAAGTAATTTTTTTAAAAAAAAATTTATATCACCCATCATTTCTCTCTGAGGCACTTTTTCCAGCTTTTACGCTTAGAGCTGGATTTGAATTATTTCTAAATAAGGTGAGTAAACTAATGGTAATTTTGGCGACAAATGTAAATTTAGTTTTACTCATAGTCTTTTGACTAAAAATCCATTTTAGTTTTAGTCATATTTTAGTTATCAGAACTATTTTAGTTTTAGTCGACTAAATCTCCAGCAGATTTTAGTCAACACGACTAAAATCTAATGGGTTTAGTTAAAACCTCTATCTGTCTCTTTTTATCCTTTCCCAGCCCATCTGTGTCTCTCTTTTATCCTGTGTTTGTTCTTGTGAATCATGCCCATGTGGGGATTAGTAAAGGTTTTTACTGGAGTCATGTGCCCATATGTGAAATAGCCCAGGCAGGGAATGCACCCTGCATTATAAAGCTCTTCAGGTGACATCACTGGCTGAACTGTTACCAGTTTGGGATATTTGAATTTCATTTACGCCTGTGGTGGTCTCAACTTGCGTAGTTGAAATTAAAATTCATAAAGACAATATATATCACTCGATGAATGAAATATGCAACAGTATCATGTAGTGGTAATCAATTTAAACAGAGGTTGTTTTTTATATAAGAGAGAGCTTCTATGATATAATCCAAAGTGTATTGTACAAGATATATGTAGTTTTTATTTTAAATATTAATTTTAGCTATACTCCATTGTATTTTAGTTTATACAATATAATATCACATGAAAAGTTATCCCCATAAGCATTCTTTAGATAGCACAAAGAATATAGCTATTTTCCATGGTATTATATTACAGAAAATGTTGTTCCTATAAGCATTCTTTAATTAACATGATATGGCCGTAGCGGCAATTAAGACACTGGACCACGTTGTGGACAAAAATATCAACCCAATTTATGTTAGTAAAATGCCTATTTACTCAGCATGAATAGTATATGTGGAACTGCACTCACTCCTACAGATCTGAGCCAGGGTGCTTGCTGAGCTGGCATCAAACAACAGATTTCCCAACATTAGTAAAATAATAGGGGTCCAGGCACTCCTTGGTTCAAGACAGGCACTTTACTGAGAACCACAACAGCATCATTTTCATGATTTACCTAAAATGGCCGCTAGGGAGTTTCCCCTTGTCATCGACTAATACCCTCATTAACAAGATGGCGCTGGAATCTGGGGGAAACCTCCATGATGCCAGTGACATCACACCTGGTTGGAAGAGCAATAGATGAACCACTTAACACCTAACCAATTATTGATGTGTTAATATCTGTTATCTCTGACAATGCATATGATGTAATTCTGCTTTATAAGGGGCATGCCGCTGGAATAAACTATTCCTCAAGTTTTTCATTAACCAGAAACCTGTGTCTGAGGTGAATTACTTCAGGAGGGTGCCCGAGGCAAATATGCAAGATTATCAATTACTTGATTGATTTCACAACAATTTGGCACCCAATGTGGGCACCGGTTTTCACCGGTTCGGATGGCCGTAAAACTGGACCGGATCGGACCCCCAGAAAGTGGGACAACCGGAGCCTAATCACCTCGTAAATACAGTAGTTTGCCTGTATTCTCTAGTTTTTTTTGGTTTTTTTTAAGAAATAAAACAACCTTTATTTGATATAATATAAAATTAGTAAGAGAAATATCTAGTTTGACCTAATAAACTGCTACACCCGAAGAATATAGCAAAGTGAAGAAAAATTGCTATAGATGTATCAAGTTAACATGGGTTTCATACTGTCTTAGTAGACATAGAGAAAGTAGACTAGTTACTTTGTTCTAAATTGTAGCAACTATATATATAAAAATGCCGTAAGAGAATGAAGGGCTACAAAAGGATATATTAAATACGTCTAGTAGAACAAGAATCTTGAACTTGCATTCAAGGGCACTATCACCTAAATGTTTGTATAGCCATGAAGACAAACGAAAGTAATGAAATAGATTACTTTAAAGTGACCCTGCCAGTCAATATCTCTGGTTCAATAAATATTAAAAGAAAATAGTTAGTGGTAATGTCCCCAAACGAAGTGTATTGCAGCCAAGGTTTCTGTTAAGAGGTCAATATCGATTACCCCAAACATATGCACACAGGGCCGATGCACAGATTTTTTTTTGCGCCCCTTACACAGCTCAAAGTATGGGCCCCCAGGGCCTGACTGTAAGTATGCCTACAAGGCCTGCCCATAAGTCCACCTACATGGCCCGCACCTCACACTCACAGGGAGTGGAGTGTATGTGTATAGGAGATGTGTTATTGTAGAGGATGTAATGTTTGTGTGTTCTTATGGAATGTAGTGTATAGGGATACCAATTTGTGTAAGTAGTGGTGTGTGTGTTTAGGGGATGCAGTGTGTGAGGAATGCATTGTGTGTTGCTGGATGTGTGTGTAAGGGATGCAAAGTGTGTTTCTGTGTATGCAATGTAATGCAGTGTGTCTGTAAGGGGTGCATTGAGCATGTGTAAGAGATGCATTTTGTTTCTGTGTAAGAGAAGCAGTGTGTGTGCGTAAGGTATGCACTGTGTGTTTCGGTGTGTGAGTAGGGATGCATTGTGTGTTTCTGCATATGTGTAGGGATGCATTGTGTATGTGTGCAGTTTGAAAGAGAGGGTTTGTGGGGTAGGATAGGGGTTGAGAGGGGAGCAGCTCTATTTTTTTTTTAATAGTGCTCTCCCCTCCCCTCTTGTCCCTTAATGCTCTCCCCTGCCCTCCAGTCCCTTAGTGCTCTGCCCACCCGTCCCTCAGAGCTCCCCCCCACCACTCTGTCCCTTAGTGCTCTCTCCTCCCCTCCCCTCCCTTAGAGTTTTCCCCTCCGTCCTTAGAGCTCTCCAGTCCCCTGTCCCTTAGTGGTCTCTCCCATCTCTTCCTTGACCCTCAGTGGTCTTCTCCCCCCTTAGTGTTACTCTCCTTGTTGTGCCTGCCTCCTCCCTATCTTTGTAGTGTGGCAGGGTGGCGCGGACCGCGGTACAGGAGCTACTGTTTCCTGTACCCGGCCGGACTGAAACTGCTCAGTGAGCACTTCCTCTCAGTCCCCTGTGCACTACCCTCTTGTCGGCAGTGGCGTCTCTAGGATTCATTTTTCGGGGGGGGACCATTGGAGGGCCAGTGACAAAAGTAGGGGGGCACATTTAACCCCGCCCTCACTGCAGTTTGACCCTGCCCCTGTCGCATGTTAAGCCACGCCCCCGACACAATGTGTTTTGGTTTTTTAATAATACCTGGTGGAGGATTCATTATTTTCCACCAGGGATTATTAAAAAAACAAACACATTATCCTTGATACAGTGCCATAGTTGCCAACATTTGAAAAAAAAATTCCAAGGACATTTTGCAGCACAGCTATCAATTACTGTCTAGGTATAATATCCCTGGACAGTCAGTGCTCTCTGTATAATACAGGGTTGTGTGTGTATAATAAATTGGGACACTTAGTGCTCCCTGTATAGTGCTGCTCTCTGTATAATACAGGTCTGTTTGTGTATCATATCATAAGACAGAGAGCAGCACTATACAGGAAGCACTGACTATCCCGGGATATTTTATACACACAGATCTGTATTATACAGATAGCTGAGCATATACCCCAATCTCTAGACTACTAGTACCTGTCAACAGCAGCTCCCAGACGCGTGTAACAGGGCTAAAGTGTGCGGCAGCTCACACAGATTATTCAGCGGCAAAGTGCACTCGCTGGCAGAGCCAAACTGGGAATCCCTGGGAATCCAAAGCATCCCTGGAAAAAAAACGTATGCCATTCCTACAAGTCAATATATATATATATATATATATATATATATATATATATATATATATATATATATATATATAGTACAGTAAGCACACAGGCTCACTGACATGCGCAAATTGGCTTACTGACAGACAAAACTCTCTGACTCACACCCAAGCTTACTACAGACACTCACTTGTATAAACAGAATGCTCACTACAAAGAAGTTCAGGGACACACACACAACACACACACAAGCTCACTAAAGACAAGCTCACTGACACACACATGCTCACTAAATAGAAGCTCACTGACACACACAAGCAGTACCATTTTAACAGAGTTAAGGGCCCCTGGGCAAGGCAATGCACTGGGGCCCTTCATACACAACAACTCACAGGAATTTTAATTATTGATAGACTGCGGAGTCCATACACACACAGACTGCTGAGTCCATACACACACACACAGACTGCTGAGTCCATACACACACACACACACACACAGATTGCTGAGTCCATACACACACACACATACTGCTGAGTCCATACACACACACACAGACTGCTGAGTCCATACACAAACACACAGACTGCTGAGTCCATACACACACACAGATTGCTGAGTCCATACAGACACACAGATTGCTGAGTCCATACAGACACACACACAGACTGCTGATCCATACACACACACACAGACTGCTGAGTCCATACACACACACACACAGACTCTGCTGAGTCCACGCACACACAGACTCCTGAGTCCACACACACACACACACACACACACACACACAGACTGCTGAGTCCATACACACACAAACTGCTGAGTCCACACACACACACACACACAGACTGCTGAGTCCATACACACACACACAGACTGCTGAGTCCATACAGTGTGTGTGTGTATGGTGATAGTGTATGTGTGTAGAGTGTATGTGTATGGGGGGGCAGAGTGTGTGTATGGGGGGCAGTGTGTGGGGCAATGTGTGTGTATGGGGGCAGTGTGTGTGTATGGGGGGCAATGTGTGTGTATGGGGGGCAGTGTGTGTGTATGGAGAGCAGTATGGGGGGCAATGTGTGTCTATGGGGAGCAGTATGGGGGGCAATGTGTGTGTATGGGGGGACTGTATGGGGGGCAGTGTGTGCCTATGGGGGGCAGTGTGTGTGTGTGTATGGGGGGCAATGTGTGTGTATAGGGCAGTATGGGGGGCAATGTGTGTGTGTGTGAACACCCCCCCTCCAGCCTACCTGTCACTGGAGTCTGTTGCTGGGGGTCAGGCAGCCATATTCTGCAGCAGCATGGGCTGCTGCTTTACGGCGGGGGCGGGGCTTATCGGCGGGAGGTGGGGCTTCATTTGGGGGCGGGGCCTGTGCCGGGGAGCCAATCAGTGCTCCCTCCGGCCACAGACAGCCCCCAGCACCTCTCTCCTGCATTCCCTCGGCTGTAACAGGTTGTTACAGTCCGAGGGAAGCCCATGGCCAGCAGGTTGCTGGCATTTGGGGGGCTAAAGGGGGGGCACAGCATGATGTAGGGGGGGCCATGGCCCCCTCTGGCCCCCCCCTAGCGACGCCACTGCTTGTCGGTCACTCAAATCTAGCGCCCCCCAGGGTAGTGCACCCTAGGCAACTGCATAAGTCGCTTATAGGATGCTACGCCCCTGTATGCACATAAAAGGTTGGTGTCAGATTGATATGCAGGCTTATATATCCATATCTAAAACAGTTTGCAAAATCTGTAGTTCTCTTGTCTGCATCCTTTGCAAGCCCTCCTCTTCTATCCCCACCCAGACTTTCAGTGTCTGTCCAATCACAGACTTCCCAAAGTAGCTCAATGAGAAGTCTTTGCGTGGCAGTCTGGGCAACTGCTCCTTGAGTTTAGCTACACTAAACAAACCACAAAGTAACATGGCCGGTTAAATGATTGACAGCCAGTGAGTTCTAATTTATAAAAGTGCCAATTTCCCATGTGTGTCTGGAGTGGTCTTTGAATATTATAAACTCTCCTCCTGTTAAACCCAACCCTTTATGTTTTGCAAGGATAGCAAAATGAGGCTTACTATGTGTGCTAAAAAATAATACATTTTTTGGGAAGTCATTTTATTTTGTAACAATTTTTGTTCATTTTTTTCAGATTGTAAGATGCAGGAGCAGACACAGAATAGTTGAAGGCAGTCGGATGTTTCACAGACCAGATTCACTTTTACATTAACAGCTAGATGAAAAGCATATTCACTTTTGTTATTGAGCTTTCTTCTATCTATAGAAAAAAATATTCTAATTTCTGTAAAAATGCCAAGGTTCTTTTTAAAGTTGACTGGCTCTTGAATAATGACAGTACATATTCCAGTTTCACAAAACGTTAGTCTCCTTTACCACAAGTCCAACAAGTTTTAAATTGTGCAAGGACCTGGGACATCCTCAAAAGTGTGGCCTGTAGCACTGTTTAAGTTCATTTTGTAGACGTTATCCTTTACACAAGACAAATAATTTGTCTTACGATTCAGTTTTGCAGAATCAAAATTCAGTTAATTTTCAGACCATTTGGAAAGAATAGCACCAAACACATAGCCAATATTCAAGGAAACCTTAAATCCTTATCTTGTGCCCATGCAAATAGGCCCATTCAGTGAGTTTGACACTCTCTGCACACCGCAAGAAGTCCGTCACATGAATGGAGCAGTTTTCTACAGATGTCTGGTTCTTCTTTAGACACTGCTCAAAAGCAACAAATGGTTCAGAACACTCTGTACGGATTCTCTGAATAACTGGGTGAGATAATGTACACTTGGCCACTTTAACCTTGAGCATGTGGCAATCCTGCTGCCATGTTCCTGGTTTGCTGGTAACACACTGGCCATACTCCTCCATTTCATTTTGGCAATATTTAGCTGTGATCTCCAGGGCAGCCTGCATGGTCTGTTACTTCAAGTTCACCCTTCACGCCTGTATTCTCTAGTTTTGTGTCGTTCTGCCTCCATGTCCAATTCTGGCTTCCAGAAGGCTACAAGACAGGTAACTTCTTATCCAGTGCCTCTTTAAACGAGCCTGTCGATCGTCTATCTGCCTCCTGAGTGTGTGTATGAATGTGAGACAGCTGGTGTGTGGTTTGTGTTTTTATTACATTATAGCTAGACTGCCTAGCGGGCAGGGAACCTATCCGCCCGGTGAAGGGCTGGGAACCGCCTAGTGAACGGCAGGAAATATTGTCCACCCAGAGAAGGGTTGGGAGCCGGCTAGAGAAAGGCTGGGAATTTTGTTGTATTGTTCAGAGTAGAACAGGGTTTATTTACTGTTTAGTTGTTACTATGCTCGTTTTTATATTGTTCTTTATTATATTATGGTTTTTATTTAGTTGTAGTCATAGTGGGGTACCCTGGTTATATGTGTGTGTGTTGTGTTGCTCATCCTTGATTCCGGATTATGTGCACATCTTTACATCTGTGACTCTTGTAAATATTTTTTGATTAGTCTCTCGATGTTCACCTTTTCCTTTACTTTCTACCTCTTCTGTACTTTATTCTGTCTTCGGTTCCCCTTACTGGGATTGTTTCCTGACCATTCTGTGTGTGCTTAGCCCGGCCACTCTAAGGTCCGGTACGGCACCTTTTGTGTGTGTGTGTGTGTGTGTGTGTGTGTGTGCCAGCGTGTTGGGTTCCCCGAATCGTGACACTCACTGTCCCTCTTACGTGGGAAGCCTTGTTTGGTGAAAATGGAACAAGAACATCCCAGACCTTGTAAAGGCTATTTAGCTTGTGACATTGTTAAGGAGAGAGCAGGAGAAGAGGCTATGTTAAAAATGAAGAAGATAGCAAAGATTTGTGGCTTTCAAATGTCCCCAAGTGGTAGATTGCAACCAGAGTTTTGGAGGAAACTGCTGATTGACAAAGAGGGCTTAATGGGTTAACGAAAGCTGTGGAGGCTTGGTGTCGGGTAGTGAGAGGACTCAAGCGGGAAGGTTGGTTAGAGGAAGAACAAGATTTTGAAGGACAATTGATTTATGTATATCAAAGAAATGTTTGTAATGATGATTCACCTCTCCTTGTTCCACAGCCATCGCCCTATGATGGAGCCCAACACAATGTGAAAGAACCTATCCCTGCCTCCCTGGCCACTACCCTGTCGCCACCTCCAATTGGCATAGTCTCCTCAGTACCCACCCCTCTGTACCCCGTCCTCGGGGCAGACGAATCCTATTATTATCCCATCTCTCTCCCACCTCCCACCTCATTCCTACTGTTCCCGCCCCTCTCCCACCTCCCTCTGTCATTCCTACTGTTTCCGCCCCTCTCCCACCTCCCTCTGTCATTCCTACTGTTCCCACCCCTCTCCCACCTACCTCCGTCATTCCTACTGTTCCTGCCCCTCTTCCACCTCCCTCTGTCATTCCTACTGTTCCCGCCCCTCTCCCACCTCCCTCCATCATTCCTACTGTTCCCGCCCCTCTCCCACTGCCCTCCGTCATTCCTACTGTTCCCACCCCTCTCCTACATCCCTCTGTCATTCCTATTGTTCCCACCTCCCTCCGTCATTCCAAGGGCTCCCTCCCTTCTCCCACCTCCCTCCATCATTCCTACTGTTGCTGTCCCTCTCCCACCTCCCTCCGTCATTCCTACTGTTCCAACCCCTCTCCCATCTCCCTCCATCATTCCTACTGTTCCCGCCCCTCTCCCACCTCCCTCCGTCATTCCTACTGTTCCTGCCCCTCTCCTACCTCCCTCCATCAATCCTACTGTTCCCACCCCTCTCCCACAAGTCTCTCCATGATTCCTACTGCTCCCTCCCTTCTCCCACCTCCCTCCGTCATTCCTACTGTTCCTGTCCCTCTCCCACCTCCCTCCATCACTTTTCCTGTTCCCGTCCCTCTCCCACATCCCTTCGTCATTCCTACTGTTCCCACCCCTCTCCCACCTCCCTCTGTCATTTCTACTGCTCCCTCCCTTCTCCCACCTCCCTCCGTCATTCCTACTGTTCCTGTCCCTCTCCTACCTCCCTCCGTCACTTTTCCTGTTCCCGCCCCTCTCCCACCTCCCTTCATCATTCCTACTGTTCCCGACCCTCTCCTACATTCCTACTGTTCCCGCTCCTCTCCCACCTCCCTCCGTCATTCCTACTGTTCCCGCCCCTCTCCCACCTCCCTCTGTCATTCCTACTGTTCCCGCCCCTCTCCTACCTCCCTCCATCATCCCTACTGTTCTGGCACCTCTCCCACCTCCCTCCGTCATTTCTGATCCGTCCATCTTCTACCTCCCTCCGTCGTTCCCTCTATTCCTTCTACCCTCCCACCTCCACCCATTGTCTCCCCTGTCGCCCCTCTCCCACCTCCCTCCGTTGTTCCCTCTATTCCTGCTTCCCTCCCATCTCCCTGCCATATCCTCCTCCGCCCCATCTCCCTGTGTCATTCCCTCTGCTTCTGCACCTTCCTTCCCCTCCCTGTCACCCCTTCCGTCCCAGTATCAGTTTTCGCTTCCCTTCCAGCCTCCAACCCTGTATTCCCTCCCTCCCTTGATATTTCATCACTCATCTCTGGCCTCTCTGCTTATTCCCCTCAGTCTATTCCAATCCCGTCACTTCCGGCTCCTGTTATGGTCGTCACTTCCCCTCCCAGCATCCTTCCCGCCATTTCCCCTTCCAGCCTCTCACCCAATCCAGTCCCTGTCCCTGCCTCCTTCATGGCGGCCCCCAGTTACGCTATCATGATAATTGGGTCAAATGAATCAATTGTATCGGGACAGCCTCACGCTGTAGGTGCTTCTCCTGCTGCATCAGGCTTTCATCCCGCCACCTCCCAATTAGTTACTCCCCAGGCCATTGCTGTCGATTCCCCTCGACTCCGGTGTTCCATACACTCAAGCCCCTAATTCACCAGATGTTGCCAGCTACCACGGTCTTCCATTCCCCGTCCCCCACGATGATGACAATGTGCAGGGGCTCAGCTCATTCCAGCCTTCAAGTAATAGGGTTTCCCAGAGACAGCCCACCGCTGCCAGCCACAACCACGCCTTACCAACCGTGGAAGGGGCTCCCCCGATGTATGTGGCTTTCAACCCGTCCCAAGCCACAACTCTAGTAAACTCTCTCCCTGACCCCTAGAAGCAGGCCATGCCCTTCTTTCGGAGGGTTGCCCATATTCGCAAGACATACTCAGGATTTGTTTAGTCTTTGTGAAATCAAAGCTGGGGATGCCAATTGGCCCATTATGGAAAGTAGTTTTAATGACGCCATCCTCACTACAGATATGGATTTCCAGTTGGGTATCACATTCTGTGAACAGCTTCCAGCCTGGGCTCAGGATAAATTAGCTGACCAAGCCACCTGTAAAAATGACATTATACAAGATAAACTTGAGTCTGTAGAGAAATACCACTCACGGTTGACTCAAACTTTCTCTGATCTAGGGTTCAGTGTATACAACAAGGCACATACCCAGATGTTATCCGCTGCCTTTGTTGCAGGCCTTAAAGAAGCCATCAGGAAAGGTTTAGTACTTTCCCGCCCTGATTATACGATTATTCCTTTGGACACTCTCCTCCAGGTTGCTAAAGGCCTCGAATCTGCACTCCATCTGCCGCAAAGGAAAAGTAATCCCCTTATGCTTTCCTTTTATAGTTCTACAGTTAGACCCACCCCAGTTCCTGCAGAATATCCCGTGCCAGCTACACAGGGGCAGCCCATGACACACACTCCTAGGCCTCAGACCAGGGCATGCTTTAATTGTAATCAACCAGGTCATTTCAGGAAAGATTGTCCACACCCCAGGGTGCAGAGACAACAACAGCCGACCACCAGACCACCTAATCCTGTGTTTAGCTATACTATATATCCCAATGCCCCTGCAGTCACACATGGGTGCACCCAGCCAGGTTACCCTCCACAGGTACATCCTCAGGAATATACCCAAGCTGTCTATCAGCCATCTCCAGCTGATAATAACCCTCCACCCCGCATGTTCACAATTCCCCTGATAATTATGATACAGATGATTATCAACAAGATGACCGTCATGCATCCAGTCAACATCGCCCTACACGCCAAGCCCAACAGGTCAGTCACTCTACAACACCCACACGTCACTACACTGGCCCCGATCAATCTCATTTAGATCTCTTACAATAGGTAACTGGCAAACCTGTGTCTAACACCCCTGTCATGGCAGTGTCTACAGGGGATAAAGGGGGGCCTTTTGCTACAGTAGTCCTACCCATAGATGGTCATCCTACTAGCTTTTTAGTTGACACAGGCACAGCCCGCAGTGTTCTCAGAGAACAAGACCTGCCTGACTCCTCTTACCTGTCTGACACAGATGTCTCTTGTGTAGATGTTGATGGTACTCCTCGAAATAACCCACTAACTAAGCTCTTGCGAGTGGATTCTGACATTCTCTCCCAGTTTGTTGTCTCTTCTACTTGTCCTATTAACCTGCTAGGTGCTGATGTCCCGTCTACAAGCTTCTATCTCCTTCACCGCTGATGGCCATGTTCAGTTATTAACCCCTCTTTCTCGCAAATATACTTCTGTTCTTTGCTCTCTGCCCCTACTACTGCACATGACATCTCCCACTGAGGAGGTAAGGATCCCAGATGCCCCCAGTGCCCTGGATAGAGTCCCAACAAACCTTTGGTCCACAGGCCCAGATGACATTGGATGCCTACACGTCCCACCTGTGGTTGTCACACTAATGGAGGGAGCAAACCCACCACAAAGGCCACAGTACCCACTGAAGCCTGCACAAGCCCTTGCCATCTTGCCACTGAAAGTCTGTTAGTAAAAGGTGCTTTGATGAAGTGTGTATCAGAGTGTAACACCCCTCTATTTCCAGAGAAGAAGAAAACTGAAGAAGGTCAACCTGACCAATACCGCATGGTCCAGGACCTCTGCGCTGTTAATGATGTCACCAACCGAGATACTACCGTTGTCCCTAATCCACACACGCTGTTGTCACAAGTCCCACCAACAGCTAAATTCTTCACTGTGGTCTATCTTGCAAATGCCTTTTTCAGTGTGCCCTTGGATCCTTCTTGTTAATATCGGTTTGCTTTTACACATGATTGCCAGCAGTATACTTGGACTGTCATGCCTCAGGGTGCACAAAATTCACCAACTCAGTTTGCTAAAGCTATGTCTACCGTACTAGAACTGTGAAAAAAAAATCTCATGCAGACATGGTCCTCCTCCAATATGTAGATGATTTACTCCTCTGTGTAGATGACTTCACAACTGCTGAATGAAATTCAGAAGATCTCCTTTGTTTTCTCACTGAAGAAGGTTGCAAAGCCTCCAAGAAGAAACTTCAGTGGTGCCGGCCCTCTGTGGTCTTCTTGGGACATTGGCACCCGTCACCTAACAAGAAACAGAGTACTTGCCATTACAAGTCTCTCTCTCCCATCTGCACATCAGGCTCTTCATGCTTTCCTAGGCCTCATCACATACTGCAGATCCTGGATTCCCACGGCTTCTCAGCTCATGCAGCCTCTCTATGATGCCTTAAAGACTGAAAGCCATCTCCTCAGCCCCAGCTTTGGGCCTACCTAACTATCAGAAGCCATTCAAGCTTTTTGTCTCTGAGAAGATCGGCCATGCTTCAGGGGTCCTTACGCAGTCACATGGTTCCCGTCAGTGCCCTATTGGTTACTATTCATGCATGCTGGACCCCGTGGCCAGAGGCGGGCCTTCCTGTTTGCATGCTGTTTTTGCTGCCAGTGCCCTCTTGGACAAAATCAATTACTTTGTTCTTGGACATAAACTAACTGTCCTTGGTCCTCATGATATCACTGCTATCCTGAATCAACTCCAGACGAAACATCTCTCATCCCAGAGACATCTCCACCTTCAGACCTCCCTCCTCTTGCCTGTAATGTCAATCTGCAAAGATGTTACCCTTTGAACCCAGCCACTCATCTGCCATTTCTCAAGGGGGGAGTGCCACAATACTGGTACAGTCTGGATATAAACCCTGACATTCACATGGAACTTCAGGTGAAGAAGCCAATGGTTCCACATGATGAACAGCCCGAGGACTACTTACATTGCACCCTGTGGTTCAGGAACACCACAGGACCTAACCCATACTATGAAGAAGAATTATTCAGCCTAATGGAAATACATATCACTCTGACAGATCTGTTTCGTGACTCCAGAGGAAATATTGTTATCTTGGTCTACCATGGAGGTATCACATTTATAACACCATTGGGAGGTGGCTGTTCCTCATGTCTCTTTCACCAAATCTCCAGATCTCTCATGGAAAGAACTCGGCCAATTGCCAAAACATGGAGTACTGCAACTCAAGAACAACTCACACTGGAGGGGGTCACTAAAAGGACCATAAATTGCAAAACAGTTGGTTACCCTCGATACCACACAGAGATATGTGAAGACACCCCTCCTACAGAAGAGGACCCGGATGCCCCTCATGATTGTTTTGAACAGATGAAAATGGAGACAACCCATCTCCCAACAGTGCACAAGGCTGCTCTACCAGATCCTGACTTTACCCTGTTTGTGGATGGCTCTAGATTTGCAGACACACATGGACAATATCATACCGGATTTGCTGTCACCACAGAAGACCAAATACTCCAAGCATCTTCATTCCCATCATCCAAGTCTGCACAAGAGGCTGAACTAATAGCCCTTATGGTAACATGTAAAATGTCTGATAGGAAGCTTGTTAATAATTACACAGACTCAAGGTATGCCCTGGGCGTGGCACATGATTTTGGTTTAATCTGGAAAACAAGAGGGTTTCTCACAGTAATGGGTACACCTGTGAAACATGGCACAGCCATCAAATAATTGATGGATGTCTTACTGCTTCCTGAAGAGGTGGCCATACTGAAGGTAAAGGCCCACAGGAGAATGTGAATTCAGAAGAAGCACATGGCAATCATTTAGCCGACCAGGCTGCTAAGGATGCAGCATGCCAGTGTCGGGAAGTGGACAGAAGAGTGTCCATTGAAGAGACTCAAGTTTACACTATGCAAACCCTACCCACCGATCTCAAGTTCCTGAGAGAACAACAAGCAGCTGCCACCCCTCAAGAAAGACAAAGCTGGAAAGATAAATGGGCAACCCTTCAGAATGAAGTGTACACAATCAACCTCAAATTCTGCCTACCCAAGAACACGTACCCAGCTGTTGTTCAATGGGCCCATGGGCCAGCTCATTTATCTAAGCACCTCATGAACTCTCTGATTGACAAATATTTTGAAGCACCTGGAATCACTAACCTGACAAGAAATTACTGTGGTTCATGTACTATCTACGCCAGATGTAATCCAGGGAAAATAATTAAAGCTGCACCAAACCATTTGGCCAAACCACAGTACCCTTTCCAAATGATCCAAATTGATCATATCCAAATGCCTAAAAGTGGCCGGTATGAATATGCACTGGTCATAGTGGACATGTTTTCAGGATGGCCAGAAGCTTTTCCTGTCGCTAATCTGACTGCCAAGACCACAGCAAAGCGCTTACTTAGTGAAATCATCTGCAGATATGGAGTTCCTGCAGTAATCGAGAGTGACCAGGGAATATCCTTCACCACGTTACTGACCAAGGAAATCTAGGCAGCACTGGGGGTGACCCTTGCATTCCACACACCCTATCATCCACAGAGTAGTGGTAAGGTAGAAAGCATGAATGGCACTCTGAAAGGCAGGATGCTTAAGATGGCCCAAGAAACTAACCTGGCCAGAAAGTGTAAGGTACACTCCAAGAGGGAGATTTAACATATCCCCCTATGAGATTTTATTTGGTACAGCACCCAGGTTAGGCTGTTATTTCCCTCAACAACTTCAAATTTAGTCAGATGCAATGCTAGATTATATAACTGCACTCTCTCATGCCTTGACCAAAATCCATGCGCAGGTGTTTTCTTCTATTCCAGATCCAGAGTCAAATACAGGCACACATAAGCTACTTCCTGGTGACTGGGTTATGGGCAAGAAATTCCTAAGAAAACACACTCTTGAGCCAAGGTTTGATGGTCCATTCCAAGTCCTATTGACCACGTCTACCTCAGTAAAATTGGCTGGGAAGAACACCTGGATACACGCTTCACACTGTAAGAAAGTTCCTGATCCAGAAGAAGCAGATTCCGCTAAGCCATGAGCTTCCTCTGCCTACTTCTGCTGCTATGCCTGTTAAAGGCCCAGCAAGTTGTTATTGCCAAAGATAATCATGTTTACACATTTTGGTATAATTCTTCAAACAAACATGTAGCTACTTTTACCTTTGATTACTGTGATATCGTCTCTTGTACCTTTCCGCAATCACAACACTCAGCAATATACAAAGATATACCTAATAAAAAAGGACCCATTTATTTGTGTGACAGGCGGCCATTGGGGACATCGCTGTAGTACCTGGAGAGCGGTGGGATGAAACACAGGCTGACCATGGGGCTACAGACCTTGAATAGGGTGGGCAGACATGGGAAACCCCTGTTACACAGAATGACCTTATGTAAGCCAACAGGGTCAACCTCAATGAAACTCACTTTGAGCATAGAACACCCCAGCCCAGGAGACACTAGAGAATATGTAATGGGAATGTATTGGAGAGGGGGTGGCTCATATAACAAGTTTGGGACTTTCTATTTACAAGACATGCATGCATCACTTGACTGGGTTGACTCTACACACATGACCATAAGACCCTTAAAGACATGGTAGCTATTGCCAATCCTACATTCGAAGACACTTTCAGGGTGAAAGAGGTGAGGGGGTTGTCAACTGGCCACTCATGTTCTCCTTTAACTTTCACAAGCATATCAGTACATGATGATCACATAATGAGTGACCTTTTGGACAGTTGCATTTTTACCTGTCGTGAATTCAGTTTGTGCAGTTGACACATTCAAACATACAAATATTATTATCAGTTAATTAAGCATACAAAGGATCAAGTAATTGCAGATTGGTATAAATGTACAGACACATTTTCAAACCAAGTTCTGATTCTCTTCAGTTGGCTGAGAATGTTCAATTAATATGCATCCACCCCTGTTCTTTAATTTGAAACCCTCAACCAATGCCTATAGGTGGGGGTATGAGGGTCCCCTTATATATAATTAACACCTGGGTAGCTGCCTATTCACAAGTAATGTATTACAGTGAGCAGATACTGGGTGGGGGCTTGGGTAAGAGTTAAAACATCCCTAAAACATACAAAGTCATATTGACCCACAAAAACAATTTGCCAGCTGTCTGCCAACACTGGGTAATGGAAGGGCCTTATATAGTTAGTGTAAGGCCAATAGAATCCATGCACATTTCTTGGAAAGAGTCTACTGCTTTGGGTCATTCTAGGTTAAAGGGTTTCCCACAGAACAATGCTTAACAAAGGGACCACAATCACATAAGGGAGTCTATGACTGCCAAAAATTATTATTCAAGAAACAGAAAGTAAGCACACTGCAGTCTGTGTGAAATATATTTCAGTGACAATATTTTTCAATGACCCCATTTCAAATGTCTTTGTCTCCTGTTCTTACTCATATAAACCACTAATTCTTTATTTTAACACAATTTAAAATTATTTATAAAAAAATAATAATTTACTGAAATATTCTAAGAAACATGCTTAGTTTCTATCTTCTTGATATTTATATATTTAATCAATGCAGATACAGGAAAGAGAACATTACCAAGGTAGGAAATTATCATAATTACAAAATTAAAGAAAAGGATTAATCTTATCCATTCTGCAATGTTTTGTTTGTATTAGCACTGAGTTCCTCAAATTAAAAATGGTTAAATTATTTGCATTTTTAACAGTAGGTTTACACCAAGTAATGAAATCATCTGATCAATTTGAATGGACTGGACAAATCGTCAGGAAAAGAAGTTCAGTTGTTCCTCAGTGCCACTGTCATGATTGGATAAATTAAATACATTGAATATTAGCGGTGGTGCTTCATATATAAAACGTTAACCATTAATGTGAGAATTAGTTGAGCTGAAAGCATAGCTGATCTAGAGAATATTTCTGGTTTGGCAATTTTGAACATACATTTGTTTTGAATTCACCTTGAATGCTCACTTTATTAAATAATTGTGTTAGTATTTTTTGAATGCAAAATTTTAAGCACACGACAAAACATTGCAAATGTCCAGTTTCCATTTGTTGGTGCTTTTTGCTCCTCATACTTGACAATGCACCTTCTAGCTAGTAATTATATAACTCAACTTGGAATATTGTTTCTATAAACTTAAGCATTTTATTTAACTGAAATTCTACTGAAGACTCTTTCTACTACCATAACCTGTAATTATGCACAATTAAGTGCTGTATGTTTTCAAACATTACTATAAAGTTTACTCGACCAGAAAGAAAGAAGTAAAATTGAAGTCAAAGGTGAATTTCAAGTTTAAGAAGTTAAACTTGACACACAGTTTACTTAGAGGTTGTTTCCTGCTCAGTTATTTTGTCCTTGACCTTGAAATTAATTTTGCATTCACTTAGCTTTCTTCTCTAACTGTCACATCACAATTCTATAAAGAAAATGTCCCACTAATTATTACTAACGTAACATCACCATCTGGTGAACCTTTATAATTTACATATTGAATAAAGTACGCGTTAAACCTATAAGGTATGGTACATATTATTAGACTTGTGAATTTTCATTTGTCCCGAACTGAAATTCGTCCTAATTCCATAACACCTATTTGCCATAAGGCCGAATAAAAACAAATGACTTGCATGTTTTTTTTTTAAGTCAAGAATTCTGTTCCTGGCACAAAAGGGGAATGAATGGAGAAGAAGTTATATTATTTTGGTGGGCCAAATAAGCAGCTTAGTTTGCAATACTTGATATCTTCACCTGTATGTCTTGTGCCCCCCCCTTTTGAATTTCTTCCCCTTTTTAGCGTATTTTATCCCCACTTTACTATGTCTTTAAAACGTCTTCACCTGTGTGTCTCTTTCAACCTCTTGTGTGTATCTCTTACTTTCCTGAGCCACTATGTGAGTCTCTTTCTTTCCTTCCAGACCCGTTCAGTGGCTCTCTCCCCTCAGCCAGTTTTGTGTTCCTCCCCCCGAAGGCCCATTGTGTGTATTTTTCCTCTTGTGCCACATTGACAGATATATAGCAACAAACAACCACACAAACACACATAATTATTCAGGCACATAGTCAGAGATATGCAGGCACACAATCAAACAACCACAGTCATGCTAGGTCTGATAGGCTGTAAACGGCCTTTGACCCCAAAGGCAGTTACCAGATCTCATTTGCATAATTGCTGCTCAGCATTAACCCTTCTGTGGATTTGGTTGTTGCTCGGCACAACTTTTCCTGTGTGGACAGTAAATGTCATTAACCACATTTTTGTAAGCGGATGAATACGTGACATTACCCCCCACCTGAAGAAGGCCCACCGGGCAGGACCAGGTTTGAGAGGAAATTTGGCGTGAAAATAGCGAATCTTGCGGCCAGCATGTATATCAGATGCCGGAACCCAAGAACGATTGGCTGGTCCATAACCTTTCCAATCCACCAAGTACTGTAAAGTGCCCCAAGAAAACCTGGAATCAATTATGGAGGAGACCTCATACTCTTCCTGTCCAGAAACAACTAAAGGAGGAGGAGGGACACTTGAGACAGTATATTTATTGCAAACAAGAGGTTTGAGCAAGGACACATGAAAGGTATTAGGAATTTTCAAGGAGGCCGGAAGGGCCAGAGAGTACGAAGGACACGAAAAGGTCCAAGGAACCTAGGAGAAAATTTCATGCTAGGGACTTTGAGCCTGATGTTACGAGAAGATAACCAAAACCTCTCACCCACTTGGTAAACAGGGTTGGCACCTCGACGTTCATCAGCAAAATGCTTGAAACGGTCAGCAGCAGTACCCAGAGCAGATTGAACTTTAACCCAGGTATCACGGATGGAAGCCAGACGGTCATCCAAAGCAGGAATAGTCGTGTCAGAAAAAACAGCCGGTAGGACAGTAGGATTCCGGCCATTATTAACAAAAAATGGACTATGCCCAGAGGAGTCATGGTCAGCATTGTTCCTAGCAAACTCGGCCCATGGTAATAATTCAGACCAATTGTCTTGAGTGCTATAAACAAAACAACGCAAGTATAACTCCAAAGACTGGTTAGCCCTCTCAGCTGTACCATTAGTCTGGGGGTGGTAAGAGGATGAAAAAGACAATTCAATCCCCAATTGCTTATTGAAAGCCCTCCAAAACTGGGATTCAAACTGAGAATCTCTATCAGATACAATATTGTGAGGAATGCCATGCAGACGGACAATCTCACGTATAAAGATCAGTACTAGGTCTTGAGATGACGGTAATTTCTTGAGAGGGATGAAGTGAGCCATTTTAGAAAAACGGTCAACAACCATGAGAATAGTGGTATAACCATTAGAACTAGGAAGTTCTACAATGAAATCCATAGACAAGTGGGACCATGGGACCTGAGGAACGGGAAGAGGTTGTAACAAGCCACAAGGGAGTTTATGAGGTACTTTGGAAACCGCACAAACAGAACAAGCCTGCACATACTCCTTAACATCCTTCCTGAGGGAATCCCACCAGAATGACCTCATGATAGCAGAAGTGGATTTATTAATACCTGGGTCACCAGCAGACACATTGTCGTGAAACACCTTCATGATATTAACCCTTTCCCCCAATGGAACGAACAATTTGTCCTGAGGTTTACCACAGGGCGCCTGAGACTGAGCCTCCATGATGGAGCCAAGCAGCGGAGAGGACAATGAAAGGATAGTGGTGGCAATTATACATTCTGGGGGAATGATATGGGACTTTTCTTGCTCTTGTATAGACTCTGTATCAAATTGTCTGGATAAGGCGTCAACCCAGTGGGTAAAGGCCATTGTAGAACCGATTCCAGCTTTTTACGATCCATCTGAAACACCGAGGCAGAGATATTATATCCCAAAATACTGTACTTCAGATTGGTCAAAGATGCATTTTTCTAATTTACAATAAAGTTGATTCTTTTACAAGGTCTGCAGAACTTGTCTAACGTGATCATGGTGAGTTTGAATGTCAGGAGAATAAATAAGGATATCATCCAGATAGACCAAGACAAACAAGTAAATGTAATCCCTGAGTATATCATTTATGAAATCTTGGAAAACCGCTGGAGCATTGCACAACCCGAATGGCATCACTAGATATTCATAGTGTCCACTTCTGGTATTAAATGCAGTCTTCCACTCGTGGTTTTCCTTGATTCTCACTAAATTGTAAGCACTTCTAAGATCAAGCTTAGTAAATACTTTAGCACCTTGGAGTCTATCAAATAATTCAGCAATAAGAGGAATGGGGTAGGCGTTCTTAATGGTGATTTTGTTCAATGCCCTGTAATCGATACATGGGCGCAACTCACCGTCCTTTTTAGATACAAAAAAAAATCCTGCCCCAGCAGGCGAGGATGATTTTCATATGTGGCCTTTATTCAATGAATCCTTAATATATTCCTCCATTACTCTACTCTCCTGAGGTGACAGAGCATAGACTGCTCCCTAAGGTGGCATAGCACCAGGTAGTAAATTAATAGAACAGTCATAAGGTCTGTGAGGAGGTAGAGTATTCGACTGAGTTTTGCTGAATACTTCTTTAATGTCTTGGTACTGTATAGGGATTTCTGGGTTTTGAGGTGTACTAGTGGGTAATCCAATAGTGCCCACTCTTTTGACAAGATTCAATATACACCTTTCATAACAATCCTTACCCCATTCTAATATTTCCCCATTAGCCCACTCAATATGAGGGTTATGCTTGTTAAGCCATGGAAAGCCTAATATGATCGGACAGGAAAGGGATGCAATAACCTGAAATGTAATCTCTTCCTTATGTAAGGCACCAATGGACACATTAATGGGTAAGGTTTCGTGTGTAATCAATGGTTGTGGGAGTGGTCTCCCATCAATAGCTTCAACAGCTAGGGCTGATAGTCTCTCCTTGATAGGTATAGTATTACCTTTAACAAATTGAACATCAATGAAGTTTCCAGCGGCACCTGAATCCATCAGGGCTTTGCATAAAAAGTTCTTATTTTCAAAGGCAATAGTAAAACCAAGGAGAAACCTATTTTTATCCATTACAGAGGACGTTTCCATTACACCTAAGACCTGTCCCCTTAAGGTGTGGTAGTTTTCCGGACGTATGGGACAATTGTTTCTCATATGTTCTTTTCTACCGCAGTATAGATATAGGCCTTCTTTTCCCCTACATTGTCTTTCTGCTTCCGACAGTCTAGTGACCCCCAACTCCATGGGTTCAGGTTCGGATTGTACTGGAAATTCAGGGACAATAGGTTTGGAGAAGTGGGGTGCTAAAGGCATATTCATGGGTCTTGTTTCTAGTAGCTTCTCTATTATCAATTTGCATGACAAAAGTGATAAATTCATTAAGTTTTTTGGGTAAGTCTTTGGCGGCAATCTCATCTAACATAGTTTCAGATAGTCCCTTTTTAAATGCAGAGATTAACCCACTATTAGTCCAGTCTACCTCGGAAGCTAGGGTACGAAATTCTATGGCATACTCCGAGATAGAACGGTTCCCTTGTCTGATATGCATCAGGGCAGCAGAGGCGTCTTCCTCCCTGCCTAATGGTTCAAACGTAAGTTTAAATCCTATAATAAACTCCTGGTAATTGTGTGCTACACTCCTATTACTCTCCCATAATGGATTGGCCCAAGCTAAAGCTTTACCTTTTAATTGATTCATCAGGTAACCAATTTTAGCTCTGTCTGTGGTAAAAGATCCCGGTGAGGCCTCAAAATGATACTCTATTTGGTTAAGGAATCCCCGTCATTCTTGGAAATTCCCATCAAAATGCAGAGGAGGAGATAGAGAGATAGTTGGTACCTTGTATACTACAGGCGGAGGTACACAAGGCAGAGGTGACACAGTAGGAGCAGCCACAGGTTGCAGATGTGCTGTACGAGTAAGAAGCGTACTGAAAGCCTGGGCAAATTGATCCAAGCGGTGATCATTATCCTCCAGTTTCCTTTCGCAAGCAGCTATGTGCTTACACAATTCTACAGGATCTATGGACATGTCGTAATGTCAGGATTACAGAATGATCCAGCACGTAGAACTGTGTAACACAGAGGACTGATAGGTAACGTATACCGGACCTTAGAATGGCCGGACTAACGTACCAAAGAATAGTCAGGAAAAGCCGAGGTCAAGGGAAACAGAAAGAGACACAACGATAAGGAAAAGCCAGGAGTCAGGGATGCCAGAAAACAGGGAAGTCAAAAACAATGCCAAAGTCAAATAACCAGAATAACCAGAATCAATAACACACTCTCGGACAACCACAAGGGAAACCACGACAGGGCACTGAGCAGGATGAGAACTGGGCCTAAATATCCCTCCTCTAGGTCTGATAGGCTGTAAATGGCCTTTGACCCAAAAGGCAGTTACCAGATCTCATTTGCATAATTGCTGCTCAGCATTAACCCTTCTGTGGATTTGGCTGTTGCTCGGCACAACTTTTCCTGTGTGGACGGTAAATGTCATTAACCACATTTTTGTAAGCGGATGAATACGTGACAATAGGTTGATAGAGGGCACAGGGACTGTGGTGGGGGGCACAGGAGCTGAGAGAGTGGACAGAGGATGTAGAGGGGGCCAGAGGCACAGGTGCTGTAGAGGGGTGCACGTGGGCTATAGGGGGGCACTGGGAATTTTGGAGTTCTTTGGAATTTTCCAGTGCTGTGTAATTTGACTCATAACACTCTGATTGGTTGCTTTCAATTGCAATTAACTTCCCCACGCTGTGTAAAATGACCAACCAAGCAGAGTGCTGTGACAGGTAAATGTAAAGACTTATGTAGAGACTCATTTACCTGTCAGAGCACTATGATTGGTTGGCTTAAACCAACCAATCAGAGCACTCTGAGCCTAACTGCAGGGTGTGGGAAGGCTTTATAAGTTTTTCCCGCCCTGCAGAGCTCATTCTGTGCAGAGCCCTCCATAGGTGAAGATGGATTATTTTTTTACCGTGTGGATTTTTTGGGGGGAGGAGGGGTGTTTTTTTTTTTTTTTTAACAGTTGCGGCGAGTATTATGGATTTTTATTTGGCCTTTTTTGGGGGCTGAAGAAAGAAAAGAAGAAAGAAGACATCAAATGGTAAGTATGACATTTTAGTTTACAGGGTGTAACGGTACTTACCCGGTCAGCGAGCCGGAATGGGTTCTCTGATCAAGTCGCACACAGCTCGAGCACTCCTGCCCCCAGCCGAGGCGCGTGTGGCTTGGCAACTCCTTGCTCCTGACGGGCCACGCGCCGAATAGTCTGATCGGGCGCATGGCCCGTACAGTATTGGGAACACTGCTCGCATCGCGAGCACATTCTAAAAGGGGAAATTGGAGCCTAATCTTTCGGTCGGCTCCCATTGGCCACGACATTCCGGCGCCCCCATTCATGCACATTTTGGGGTGTAGGCATAACGTGAACCAATCAAATTAAAAATAAAGGTATTCAAACGTGCCTGGCTCCAGATTATGTGCCCTATTGTAGTTTCTGTTCCCAGTACCCTTTAGTACATTCCTAATGTATTGTATTGTATTCTGGTATTGACCTTGACTTTGTTTCCTGACTCTGAGTGTCTCTTTAACCCTTGCCTGTCTTGTTTGCCCTTCTGATTATTACCATGTACCTGACTCTGGCTAGTTCTTGTTTTCGCTGTCTCTCGGTTACCCTGACCTCGTCTTGTATTTCGACTATGCTTTTCTCTGTCTAACATTAGGTCCAGCCACTCTAAGGCCTGGTAAGACATTTATTTTTCTTTTGTCTGTTCTTTGCTATCCTAAACTCTTCATGACATTACAATAGGGCTGTGACATTACAAGAGGGTCTCGTGTATAGCTGATTTTATTTCCAACATGGACACTGCATGTTTAGGACAGCAAATGGTTTCCTACGAGGCAAGGTTTGAAGAGCAAGACCATCGCATAGGTCAAATTGCTCAGGCGTTGCAGACCATTATGGCCAGAACTGCACGTTTAACCCCTGAGACACAAGTCTCTAACAGTATCCCCTATTCCAGAGGGCTCTAACGATGTTTTGTCTAGTTTGACCCCTCCTCCTCGGTATGGAGGTGATGCCATGACATGTAGAGGGTTTATTATTCTACGTACCCAAAAATCCTTGAACCGGCCCAGGTTGTACCCCCACAGTACATATCATCTAAATATCATCTAAAACTGCTTTTGATAAAAGAGAAGCAGATAATATAACTGTACGATTGATTTACTACCTGGCACTATTCCTTCTAAAGGTAGGGTGTATCCACCACAAGAAAACCTTGTTATAGAGGAATATATCAGGGAATTGTTACAGAAGGGGTTTATCAGGAGATCTTCTTCTCCAGCTGGGGCTGGCTTCTTTTTCGTATCGAAGAAAGAAGGTGATTTGAGGCCTTGTATCAATTAAAGGGGTTTGAATAAAATCACCATAAAGAACGCCTACACTTTTCCTCTTATCACGGAATTGTATGACAGATTGAAACAGGCTATGGTTAGATCTCGGGGTGCATATAATCTAGTGTGTATCAAAGAGGGCCATGAGTGGAAAACTGACTTTAACACTAGGAGTGGTCATTATGAGTACACTATAATGCCTTTTGGTCTCTGTAACCCTACAGAAGTGTTGCAGAATTTTATCAACGAGGTGCTAAGGGAGTTTATACATTCTTTTGTTATCATTTACCTGGATGACATTCTGATCTATTCCCCTGACCTGCATACACACCACATTCATGCCAAAAAGTACTACAGACACTTTTAGCCAATGGTCTTTATTGTAAGCTCAAGAATTGTTTTTTTGATCAGACTGAGGTGCAATTCCTGGGTTATTTAGTCTCTTCTGCTAGTTTACGTATTGATCTTAAGAAACTCTCTGCTGTCATTGACCAATAGCGGTCTTGCCTCTGCCTTTATGGAGGGATTGTCTGATGTTATATTAGATGAGGTAGCAGCTAGAGAACTCCCTGTTGCTTTGGAAGATCTTATAGACTACCTCATTGATATAGATAATATAATACAGGAGACAGTATACTAGAACAAGAAATAGACTATTCTATACCAGTATACGAGAACAAGAAACAGACTAGTAGCCATCCAGCGCTTTGTTGGCTTTGCAAATTATTATAGAAGGTATATTAAGAACTTTTCTTCCATCACTGCACCTATCACCCGTTTAACAAAAAAAGACGCTGATTCCTATTCCTGGAGTTTCAACTTTCCAATTTCTAAAATGCACATTTTCCTCATATCCCATCATGAAACACCCAGACCCATCCTTGCCATTTATATTGGAAGTTGATGCCTCTGAGGTGGGTGTGGGAGTTGTTATATCCAAAACAGAGTCCCCTGACAAGCCTTTGCATCCTTGTGGTGTAATTTCTAAGCAATTGTCTAAAGCAGAAAGGAATTACGCTCCTTGTCTTCTTCGTGCATTTCATTCCTGCTTCCCCTCCAACCCTGGTCCTTCCCGCCTGGTGGGTGGGCCTTCAGGGGTGGATAATGTAAAGGTACTTACCCGGTCCGCAAGCCGGCAGGTAAGTGGCTCAGAAGCACCTTGCTCCTGGTGGGCCACGCGCCTGATCATAGTGACCCCATACTGATTTATATTTAGTATGAAATGACAGCCACTGTCTGCTTGCTGTTTAGGCAACATGCCCCTAGTAGTGGCATGCAGGAGGATTTAACCTCCCTTTTATTAATATAGGGGTCATAGTGACCCCCATAGGTTTAAATTCAGGTGTGGTAGAAATAGTTATTTAATACAAGGAGGGAGCTGGTAGCGCTGCCGGCTCCCTCCTCGTTTTTGTTATTGCCCATGTGCACAGTTATTTATTTGTGCTGTGGGGGTTTATTCCCCTACATCACAGAGTCTATTAAATGAACGAAACAAAATGAAAAGGTAATGCATTCGGCATTTGCCCTTTCATTTTTTATTTATATTTTGTTTGTAGGGCTTTCGTTTACGAAAGCCTCTGAATTTTCTGACAAAATCGTATTCGTACAAAAACAATTGCACATCTCTACATTACTGGACTAATATATCAACTCAAATAGAATGTGTTAAATACAGCTGTAATTATAGGTTGAACAAGTTCTAAAACAATTGTATAGACATTGTTTTTTTCACTGTTGTTGTAGAGATACTGCATATGTTTTTGTTGTCTATTTTGTGATTTCTCACTTGATGGCTTGACGCTGAAAAACATTCTTTAGAAAAAGCATACTGGTGAAAAATTTCCATTGCTTAACATTTAAAGGAACACTCTGGGCACCATAACAACTTAATTTAAATTAATTTGTTATGGTACCAGGAGGTCCCTGGCACTTTCTTACCTGAAGACGTTTAACCATTCTCAAATGGTTTAACCCCAAAGATTGCCTCCAGAGCTTGATCTCCCTTTTCCCAGCAGCATTCTGCATCTTCAATTCAGTTTCAGGAAGAGCGTAGTAGTGCTGGGCAGAGGCGCTGCTGATTGGCTAGAGTGGTCAACTTATGCACTAAGCCAATCCGTAGATCCTTATTCATGAAAAATTGCATATACTATGTAACAGTCCCCTACAAGATTGAAGTTCACTTTTTTATCACAATGGGTAAATCAGAATTAGATTTAATAGATAGAATGGAGTTATCTCCAATCCCTACTGTAACTGCATCTTTCATAAGACATGCAAGTGTGCAAGTGGGTGAATTATTTTCAACACTAGCAGCAGTGGTGTTTAGCAGAGTTTTAAAGCATTTACTATTTTTTTTTTATAAAACGTCCCTCTTTAAATTAGTTTTATTTATTTTTGGATAACAGTGTATTTATTATGTATGTGATCCTATATATTTTCTAATGAATTTATAAATGTATCACATATCTCCTTAGTTGTAAAATTAATTAATATAATGTGTGCATCAGTGTATCACAAAGCTACTCAATGATATAACTAACATTAATATGCAGAATATATAAATGAGCACTATTATAAAACTCACAGTAATGTTAGTAATGGCAGTGATGTTACTACTGCATAGGATTCTGTGTTTGCATCTAGTTGTAATAGCATGCAACAGTATAGATCCCCAATCATGGATATATATATATATATATGTGTCTTCTTATTGTCTTCAATGGCAGGATAAGTGACCAAAAGAGCCAAAAAACAAACAAAACAAATAGAGATTATATAGTGCTCCCCGTATTTATAGATGGGGAGATAATAATAAAATATTACTTACAGTATAATGAGCAGTCCCACTGCTCAGTTTATATGGCGTGAGTGGTATAATCCCTCCAATTGCCCATGATGCCACAGATGTTTCTATTGTGCCAGTCAGAAAATAGTACATAAATAAAATAAAACAGCAAACATGTATACAGCATCTGGCTATACCAAAGGTAAAGGTCACTTAGTACTTATTGCTATACAAAACACAAATAAAAACAGTAGAAAAAAAATTAACCCCTTAGTGACCAAATTGTTTTACAATTTTCTTACTGTTAAGGACCAGGGCTCTTTTTACATTTCTGCGGTGTTTGTGTTTAGCTGTAATTTTCCTCTACTCATTTACTGTACCCACACATATTATATACAATTTTTCTCGCCATTAAATGATCTTTCTAAAGATACCATTATTTTCATCATATCATATAATTTACTATAGAAAAAAATTATAAAATATGATGAAAAAATTGAAAACAAAAACAAACTTTTTGTAACTTTGACCCCCCAAAAATTTTGTCCACCAAAAAAACACCCCTGCTAAATAGTTTCTAAATGTTGTCCTGAGTTTAGAAATGCCCAATGTTAACATGTTCTTAGCTTTTTTTTTTTTAAGTTAAAGGGCTATAAGTACAAGTAGCACTTTGCTATTTACAAACCAATTTTTGGAAAATTAACATTGTAACACTGATATCTGTCAGGAATCCCTGAATAACCCTCTACATGTATATATTTTTTTTAAAGAAGACAATGTAAGGTATTAAACTCCGGGTATTTGGACTCTTTTCATGCAACCATTTTACCACCAATCTATGCCAAATTTAAAAAAATAATAATAATAATTGGTGATGTTTTTGACACGTATTGCAATTTAAGAATGGAGAACTTCAAGGGTTACTGCCAAAGAAGGTCCCAATATGTGTTCAGCAACATCTCCGGAGTACAGTGATAAGCCCCATGTATAGGTTTGTTGGGTTCTCTAGGGCTAAAATACCTATTTAGAGGGTGCACATTCCAGTTTTCCAACTTGGAATTTTCTCAGCTAGTCATCATGCACCCATGTCCTATTTGGGACATTTTTCAAGCCGGCGTTCATGACCGCCTCAGAAAGGACAGCATAGAATGCCCACCATACTTAAGGGGTTAAACAGCAATTGGATAAATACTTGCAAAACATACTATATTGGGATATAATTATTTATTAGTGGGGTAATAGCTTCTTGATCCAAGGAGATATCTGACTGCCAGTCTGGGGTCAAGAAGGAATTTTTTCCTAGTTTGTTGCACAATTGAAAGCGCTTCAGACTGTGTTTTTTGCCTTCTTTTGGATTAACAGCAAAGGCAAATGTGAGAAAGGCAGAACTTGATGGACACATGTATTTTTTCAGCTATCAATTATGTGATTATATAACTATGTAACTTCCTGATGCTAATCTAATTTCTGCACCTTCTGAATGTAGTTCATTCTCTCTTGTCTTGGTTTGGCAGCTTTCTAAAAAACAGAACTGGAGGTTAGTAAAGGATGAATCCTTGGGGCAGAGCAAACAGAGAGTAGCAAGACAATAATGTGATGGAGTTTACTGTGAATATAACAGTTCTAGAGAAATACAGAATGGTTGAGACAGAGTCTGTATAATTTGCACAAAAAAACAACAACCACACTACTATCATGTGAAGATCTGGGTGCTAAACTGAACCAAGGACCAGCACCAGCCCCAGGAAGTAGATATCATTGGTAAAAAGAGGATCCAGGCACTCACTTGTCCCAATAAATACATTTGAAGATAGTTGGAGTGCCTGCATCCGCGTTCTACCACTGAAAGTCTGTATAATAACACAATTGGATGATCTCTAAGTCAGGACATCAAAGCCAAAGTCAGAAGCCAGAGAAGAAAGGGTGATCCATAAACATAGTCTGCTTCACTCAGCCTTAGCCTTAAGAGACATTCTGACACTGTATAGGATGTGTGTGTGTGTGTGTGTGTGTGTGTATGTGTGCTGTGTATTTTAGGCAGGGAGCTAGCTATGGATGGTGAAGTAGTGGTTGTTGCTCTTGGTAATTTGGGGGCACTGCATGTGGTAAGCACCTAATGTTGGTATGGTTCACAGTAAATATTCTTTCTGGTTTAGCTCTAATTAATGATGGAGAGTACAGGCTGGAGGAACCTAACAACTGCACTTTGAAGTCAGTCAATAAGAGATTGGATGGCGAGGGGTCTTTACTGTGGTCTGCACCTGCCTGAGGTGTAGTGACACCATTTGGAGAGAATACTAGGAGAATAACTATCCCTGCAACTAAGAATCTTAATTTGAATACTGGAGCTTTAAGGCCCAATGTAACAACTATCCCTGCAACTAAGAATCTTCATTTGAACACTGCAGCTTTAAGGCCCAATGTAACAACCATCCCTGCAACTAAGAATATTCATTTGAAAAAAAAATTAATTGCTTATATTGATATTTTTGTGTGAATCATTTTACTTAAGGAACTGAATATTCATGTGTTTAACCCTATCCCCATTTTTTAGCAGATTATAAAGATAATGCATTAAAAGTTATGCACAACATTAATTTGGACTCTTGGACGATAAAACTCCAGAATCTGAAGAAGCAAGATGGTGGACCCCAAAAAGAGAGCTTCTGGTAAATATATTTCCCTTTCGATTCACTGCTGGGCAACAGCACACAAAATGAGGATACCACATTCAGAATATTTGCCTAATATACAGTGTTGCCCAAAGATGACAAAGTGACATTAACTAGAAGGTAAGTCAAAAGTAAAGACAAAAATCAGAAAACACCCATAGGTTGTAGAATTTATTTTGGCTTGAACATTATAATTACTCTGCTAACTCAATAGCAATGTTCTCTTTGACTTCAATGGAGGAATTTCTATTCAGTAAAATGATATAATCCAGCCCACCTGTTGCCTGTCCTTACCGGATTGCAAATCATAAAATTCTCAGTGAGATTCTGGCTGAGGTTGATAGGAGTTAAAATATACATGTGATGTAATTGGAAAGTGAGGCAACCACTTGCTTTACAGTGCATGTGTACTATAACTCCAATCAACCTCATCCAGAGGTTGGCCAAGCCTATAAAGAAATTTAATTCTACAATAATTTTATTGTGATATATAAAGTTACTATATTACCAACACAAAGAAATATTACTTAAAAACAACACTTGAACTAATAAAGCCCTAAAGTATGAGTTGTTGTGGGTCCCTTAATATCAATAAAATAACCAATTTCTGTGAGGAAAATTGGAATATAAATTTACCATCAACATTTCAATCATTTGATTAAACATTGCCTTGCACTAACAATGAAGTAGGTGATAGCCCAAAAAGGGGTGGATTTTTATTAGCTGCAGAGACTAGTTCCGCTTGGCAAATAGGTGTGCAAATTTAAGTAAATGCATTTATTTTTGCAAAAATTTATTATATGCCTTAAAAATATAAGTTTTTTTAAGTTGCAGATTTACCTTTAAGGATCAGAGTCTGGTCCCTAATTTTTCTAGACTAGTATGGAATATTCTATTTATTTTCTATTTTCATATAATTACAGCCATGCATTTGTTAAATGAATAAAATAATCCAATTTGATTTGGTGGCTTTTTATTTTTATTTTTTACATATTTTATTGACATTATAATTTAAATAAAAAAGTTAAAGCCATGCATACTTTTACAGTGTTATATTTATCAGCCGAACATATTAATTAAAGCTAAAACATATAATCGCAACATTAAAAAAAAGTGATTTCTTTATCACAAAAATATTACTATGCTAGCATTAGTTTTTGTTTTTTGAATTGATATTTAACAATATATCACTCTCTGTATCTGTGCACATTCTCGGAGTTCTATTACATACAAACATTTTAATAGCCGAAAGAATTGCTTAACTTAGTGAAGTTACCTCCCTTCATGGCTTTTTCTGAAGAACAAAAAAATTATAATTTCAAGATGGATGCCAAATATTTTCCACTCATATAAGCATAATGAAGCTCCAATAAGAGTGCATGTATGCTCCTTTCCTGGGTACATGGCAATCATTGTTACAGATCATTAAAGGGATACGTTAAGCATCAAAACCACTGCATTTTAACAGTGGTTCTGGTGCATAATTAAAATGTCTATTTTCTCTGGCAATGTAAATATTTCTGAGAAATAACCACTGGAGTTATTCCCTCCTCAAGATATTTTCATTATTATTCATGTTCGTTGTCATCATGCACATGATGATGCCAAACATGGCAATTACTTCTCATAGACCGAGAGATACTTTGGATTCATTGCTTCTCTTTGAAAATGATTTGATTGGTGGAAAAGTGTGATGTCATGCGTGCACCATATTTCCCTAGTACATCTCTATGAGAAGCATTGGATTGGAAAATAAGAAGATATCAGAAGAGGAGGATAAGGCTGGATTAAAGAAACTCATTGTGCTGGAATAAGTAATGTTGCAGTGTGAATTAAAGCAGCATTACCCATTCCAACATCTGGGAATGCCAGGGAACTGTTACCAGCAAGTGCAACATGAGAGCACCATTAGACATAATAGCGCTGGGCTAGAACCTGTAGTATCTTTCTCTTCATTTTCTACTCTGAGCAGGGATTGCCAAGAAGTGGTTAGTCAGCCTGGCATGCATTCATGCAAGGTTGACGTACACCTTGTTGGCATTCTGTCACCATTCCATGGAGAAACCCCTTTTTTGGCATCATCGGCATCACTAGCCTGCCCCTGTAGGTCTACCCATTTCCTGTCCTAATTTCATACACATAAGTGAAATACAACAAACAGAAAAAAAAAAGAATATAAATTACCGTATAGCATTGATGTGGTTAATATTAAGTTGCAAACCACTTTTTGTAATATTTCCAATTAAAACATGTTTTTTCTTAATCTTTCATTACACCAATTTAAATTTATTTTTCTGACTCCTCAAATATTGGTTTGTGTTTTAGAAAAGAAAAGAGAAACACTTGAAAAAAACATTACAATTCCTTAACTTAGTGCATGCAATTTCTGATGATCAGAACCAGGCCAAATGCTTGGATTAGAGACGTCAATATGGAGAAAGTCTGTTTTGCAGAACCAGAAGTTGTTTTGGAAGTGCCTGAAATGCATAAAAAAGGTAAACATTTACTAAAATGTGAAATTAAGGAACACATTAAACTATATTATGTTAATTCGTCTTGATTTTCAGTATACTGTTTTTTTACAAAATTTACAGAAAAATATTGTTTACATTTAACTGTCTGACTTTATATTTGCATGCACATTTACTTTTTTATTTCCCAACCTTTCTACATTATTTTGTTTCTGATATCTTGTATCATTAGGTTTTTAAAATACTAGCTATTCAGTTTTTATCCAAGAAATGGAAATGTTTACATCAGATAGTCGAGAAACACAAGTAGTTTCTTGAAAAAAAACAAAAAAAACAAGAAGGAATTTTCCTCAACTGGCATTGTAATCTCTTAAATTTGATTAATTTTTGGTGGATTTTTAGTAATTCGATCAAGAATCAAAACAATTGGGTCATCTCTCTCAAAGAACGAGGGAGCCGTGTCCTATCAGGGCTAGTCCAGTTGGATCAAGTGGGTTGGTTCCAACTAGAACAATTTAGGAAAATACAAATACAGCTGTTGATTTGCTACATTCAGCAAAACTATCTTCAATTGCATCTTTATTTTACTCTATTGATGCTGAAAAAGCTTCTGATCAGGTTGTGCCCAAGGAGGACTTTTCAAAGTCTAACTTGAGCTACATACATAACAGTGATATATATATACAGGCAAAGTTCCCCTTTGTGTATCACAAGGATATGGCTGCAAGATAAGTTGGGATTTAAAATTCAAAACCCTCAGGGTATTACTGAAAATGCAAAGTGAATTTCAAATTCAAGGTAAAAATAGCTGAATTGAAAAAATTATCTAAGTTAGCGATGATACCAGTTTGGATGCTTTGCCCTAAATTCGAAAATTCACTTTGAGTTCAAATTGAATTCTCAGTTTATTGAATAACCCTGCCAGTTGCTCTGCAGCTATATTTAGCTGGATGCAATGGCCTGGTGAGCACTAAGACATGTTAATGAAAAATTAGTGTAGGGAAGTTGTGGAGTATAAATGCCTTTTTCTGGCTAACCAAATAGATTAAATATTTTTTGAAACCCAGTATGTCTCTTCAAAAGATGCTCTTAATCTTTGCACCTAGTGATGATGAATGTATTTTAATTCTAATGACTTACAAAGATATAATTTTACTAAATATGTATATCCCTTGTTTCAATGACTAATATGGCACTACTCCTTCAATACTGAATACAGTCAATCTTTTTTATTTTAAACATTTGCCACCTATTTACTTAATATTATTACATACAATACTAGTAAAATACTGATTCAATCTCCCATCATATGGTTCCTCAATATATTCTTGCTCTTCCTTTAAGACCTAGCGAATAGCACATGTTTCTCTATTTTTGAATTGAATTTTCTCAATTGTTCTATCACACGTGTTCGTAAATAAA